ACAGAGCTCTTTTTGTGCTGGTTTCCTTATCTGGAGAACAATCTGGAATGCGGTCCTTCCAAGCACTGGGTCACGTGGACCACAAACAGCTCAGCTTCAGATCCAAACCAGAGATGATGGGAGATGTGCACACCCCTGTGTCTGCTAGGGAAATCATGTTTATCAAATTGTCTTCCTATTTTTATGGTCTCTGATTTTCCTGCTTTATTTTTTTCTTATTGGTTATTTCAAATCGCTCTTAGCAGTAAGTAGCATTTTTGTTTGTTTTTTGTGGCCAAAGAAAATGAATTCTGTATTCTCATCACTGAGATGACAGAGTAAATTGAACTCTTGGAAATGGAGTTAAACTGACCAAAACGACCACCTCGGGCGCTCAGGACACGACCTGAAGCGGTGACTTCGTGACTGGCTCTTCCTGCTGCTTTAAATAGGGGTAGTCCGCTTCCACTAACGCATGCTGGCAGTCTGGAGGGGCCATGTTACAGCCACGCAAGAGACACCCAGATGAAGTGGATCCAGGAGATGTCAGGGCAAATGTCCCTTGCTCCAGGAATCAAGGCCAGGATGAGAGTCATGTGACACAGGGGCAGTGACCCAGATGCCCAGGGTCCAGTTGGCAGAAACAACGGCAGCAGGTCAGGCTAAGAGAGCTAGGATCAAAAGAGACCTGAGAGTGCCCAAAACTTTCCGTCTCAGGAAAAGCAGTGTCTCTGGACCCTCAAGTAAACTCCCAATTCCAACATCTTGGTAACTGATTTAAAAACTCGTCAACAGTGCTTCTAGCAAAGGAGCTCTCTCACGTGCATCATGCCCACACACGTTGCTTGATGACTTCCAAGAAGCCACGGCAGCTGGAAGCTCATGTATTGATGCGAGGGGAAGCGGCCTCTAGAAACAGCCCTCCCTGCTCTTCAGAGAAGCCACACGGGGGAACTCTGTGGCCCTTCCTTTTAGTCTGGCACCCACCCCATCCCTGCCTGCCACTTCTGCATCCCACATCTACCACTTCCTGCAGTCCCACTGTGTGTCCTTAGACCCCGTTCCATATCCCTAGAGCCCCCTGTTCTCTTCCTGGCCTGTTGGAGACCCCTGCCTCTTAGCTGCTACTCCTGCCTCTATCAGGGCAGCCCAGTGGACAAACACGGGGAGTTTCATTTCTAATCAGAGATAGAACCACTATTCATTTGGACAATAGCTGTGGCCAGTGGGGATCTATGGCCCCTATGGCGCTTTTCAGAGAGCAGGTGCCTTTATCATGCCCCTTTTGCCAGCATCACCTCCTTCTGAGACGGAGCCACCCTTCAGCCATTTGGCCATTGTGGGAACTGGGGCTCATGCAATAAGAGAACACAGTGAGTGGCCAGCTCACTACCAGTCCACCGAGGTGACCCCCTCTGCGGAATGAGCTGTGGCTTGAGGAGGTGTCCTTGACAGAAGGAGGGAGGTGTACCTGTGTCTTCACAGGAGTGTGGAGCTCTGGGACCATGAGGATGGCTCGGGCAGCCTTGGTTCCAGCCAGCAGCAGCTTCATGCTGATTCCTGCCACTCCACCTCAGGCAACCAAATGAAGAGTTGCACAGTTCCAGCTTAGCAGGGAGCACCTCCAGATTTCTAGGGTGGCATGTTGGGTCTAGGGAGGGGGGCACAGGACCTGGATTAAAAAGCTCATATCCCAAATCAGAGTACCTGCGAGCAGCACGTAACTCTGGCTCCTGACCCCAGCTTCCTGCCAGTGTAGACCCTGGAAAGTAGCTCAAGTGACTCAAGCACTTGCATTCATGCCTCCCACATGGAAATCCTAGATTGCTTCTGGATTCCGGCTTTGGCCATAGCCCAGTACAGCCCAGCTGTTACAGGTGACTGGGAAGAGAACCGGAAGACTTTCTCTCTCTCTCTCTCTCTCTCTCTCTCTCTCTCTCTCTCTCTCTCTCTCTCCCCCTCCCCTTTTCATTTTAGTTCTCCTCATCCTTCCTGTCTTTGCTCTCTCTCCTCTCTGATTTTTCTCTCTGTCTCCTCTCTCCGTTCCTCAAAAAACTCAGAATCCCATGGGGAGGACAGATGTGTTAGTAAATGCCTCTTCCATCCTGTCACCCAGCGTGAATCACGAGGCTCGTGGGTGGGTGGACCTGCTGTCAACATGTCTGGCTCATCTTTGGGTTGTGAAGTTATTCCCAAGCCTCACCTTCAGGCTGTCCTATGCCTAAAATCTTATAGACTTAACTTCTTGGAGTAGCACTGAGGGTCTTTCAGACACTGTCTCCGTGTTTTATCCTAGTTCCTCATTGCTCCTGATCCTGGTCCCTCCTCTCTCATACACCACATAGTCCAGGCTGCTGACCCAGCTGCACGGCACATCTCCAGTGTCCATTTTGGCCTCTCTGCTGGTACTGTTCCTTTCACTGCCAGCTGTGTCCCTCCTACTATTGTCTAACAGGCTCCTATTCATCCCTCAAGACCCAGTTCCAGTGCGCACTCCCACTGGAAAGGCGTTCCACCTTCCTCACTGGAGTTTCCATCTCATTCCTTTGAACATGCATGTCCTGGGGTTCATCCCTTGTCACCTTATGTCTGCTCTCAGTCTCAGTTCTCTCTGTGCCCTGCCTGACTATGAGCCCGACAGGATCTTGTCTTTATATCCCAAGCTGTTCCTGCTCCATGGTGGGAAGTATGCTAAAAAGCATTTGATGCATGGAAAGTAACCTGACAATGAAAAGACCAGATACTGAGGACCTTAATATTTTCATCCTCACACCAACTTTGTGACTCAGATGTCATGATCATGGAGCCTAGAGCACAGAGACGTTAAAGAGATTGCCAAGGACACACAGCTGAGTAAGCAGTCCCATCCGAAGTCCGTGCCCGGGGTATCCTCTGACTCCAGCCACTGCAGTTCCCTGTGTGAAGAGATCCTGGGTCCAAGCACAGGGTCCTGGCAGCGTCTTCTCAAGGATCTGGCTTAGGCTTTCCAAAATAAGCATCTTTTCCACAGAGGAAACACACAGAGTTCCCCAGTGTGGCTCTCACAGAGCTCCAGCCCACACAGCCTGGTGTCGGGGGTCATGGGAGAGACTGTGGGATTTAAGCAATCCACACAGCACTGCCCAAGATCCATGCAGCAAGAAGTTGCACTGTGCAAAGACGACAGGGCTTCTTCCCCACCCTGCCAGGAACCCACAGCTGTGCACTGAGAGCCTGGGTATGCAATTCAGTCTTTTGGCTCCAGGACTTGCTGCAGCCCACTGGCTGCTCCCCAGCCCCATTTTCAGTGTGGGCCAGTGGAAGTCAGCATGAACTTGGAAGGACTTGGTTCTCCTGGGACCACTGGCACCCACTGCCCCCAAAGTTACAGGACACAGCCCCAGCTTTTGTATGGGGTGTCCGCATGCTCCAGGGAGGGGTGGGGACCACTGTTTGGGGAGCACCAGGGCAGCCAAGAGGCCCCTGGCAGCTGTGGCAACACGTGCCAGCTAGGGATGTGGGAAGGTAGAGGGCAGTGGCAGGACTGTCCTAAGTACACGGGTGAACATTTGAGAGGACCTAAGTGAGCCTTCCAGGCATATCTGGAACAAGTCTTGGACGGGCACGCTGCAGCAGAAGGTAGTTAATAGTTAAGACCCAGAGATACTGTATGTTGCCAGTAGTATAATCCAATTTTACCTCCCATATGGTCCTGCTACAGGGAAGACACAATTTCAGGGGCTTCTTTGTGGATCTTGATGCTTTTGTTTCATTCACTCATTTATTCACTCCACACATATTTATTATACTCTTGAAAGGGTTTTATACTCTATGCTACCTATCATCAGCAGCACTTGATGCAGATTCCAAATTCACCAGCCTAGGATGAACTAACATATTTTGATTATGACTTGCTTAACAACCATAAAAGAATGCCTCAGAAATCTAACGACTAGCCAATAACTTTGCTTTAGAATTATTTGTATGCATCTAGTATTTATTTATGTGCACATTCTTATAAGGTAACAAAAATGAAACTGCATTCCATTGCCCAATGAGTAAATCTCCTTTATTGAACTGTCACCATTACCCAAAGGTAGGACTGTCGCTCATTAATGGAATAAGTAGGTGTCCCCACTTTTCTCCTGACCTTGGCTGGTCCCCCAACAGGTTCAGTCACAGTCTGGGGACTCTGCACCATATGCTCCCTACATGAGTAGTGGGCATGAACAAAGGAAGGCTTGCTGCTTCCCTAATACAAGAAAAGAGGGCTATGTTAGGCTTGGCCAAATGCTTCCTGGAGCAGGAAGGAGAAATCACCCATCATTTTTTCTTTCAAATGCCTCTCCCAAACCTGCATTTGTGTGTTACCCACAGTAGCCAAGCTATGGACACAGCTAAAGTGTCCACAAACAAATGAACACAAAAGGAAATGTGCTGCACAGCCGCTCTCACACATACCTGAGATGTAATGCTACATGCATGTTGCATCAACATGGATGAACCAGGGGGCATTATGTTAGGTAAGGTAAGGGGACACAGAAAGACAAATACTGCCTTTTCTTACTTGCTTGTGGAATCTAGAAAAGACAAATCCAGATAGAGAGTAGCCTGGCGGTACCCAGGGATCTGGCACCAGGGCAGAGTTGGGTGGGTGAGGGGCTGATGTTAATCAAAGGGAACAGACTTTGCATTTCATGATCAGAAAGTTCTGGAGTTAGTGTGTAACATGGTGACTACAGTTAATTATGTGTTCTGTGCTAGAAATGTACAAAATATTTTCTATGCACGTGCATGTGCACACACACACACACACACAATGTGTGAGGTGACTGACAGGCGAGTTAGCTCGATGGCAACAGTACTTTACCATGCACGCGTATACTAAAACACCATGTTACACACCTTGAGCATGTACCACTGTGGTGAACTAAACATCAGTAAAGCTGGGTGAACACCTGTGCTGGACACGTCTTAGCTCAGCCCCAGGAAGCCCCTGCCAGCCCCAGCCTAACGTCCTCTGTGTTTTTGTTCTAAACCAGGGCCCTCCATCCGTAGGCCCTTCGCACAGTCCACCCACGATCGTCCTGACGGGGGAGGTCAGTTCACTGGAAGGAGAGTGTGACAGGAATCTGGCCAACAGGTACGTGTCCCAGGTGCCTGGTCCTTCTGCTGTGACAAACAGTGCCTCCTATCATGTGGACATCAGGTGCTGTGCTTTCATACAGACTTTCTTTTTTCCTTGTATCATCAATGAAAATGCAGTCAGTTCATTTCTTTTCAGGAGAGAGCTTTGGCGTTTCCCCTAAATGAGCTTTCCTCTCCTGAATCTGACCTTTTCACTTTGCTAGGCTGTTTGAAAACCACAGCAAGGCAGTTTCTGATCACTGCCCAGCTCTCTGCTGGATATGTAGGAAAGATGTGAGTCTTTGGATAGTACTGTCCCCAGTTGAAGCAGGTCCCACATAGAAGATGATCTACCGGAAGGGACATAGGCTCACATGCACCCAGATGGCACTGCCCAGGCCTTCATCTGACTCAGACCTGGGGAAGCTCTAGTCTGCCTAGGGCCATCTGGATGAATACACACACACAAACACACACTTTTTAAAAATTATTTTATTTTTATTGGAAAGGCAGATTACTGAGAGAAGGAGAGACAAACTTCTTCCATCTTCTGGTTCACGCCTCAAGTGGCCCCAGTGATCAGAGCTGAGCTGATCTGATCTGAAGCCAGGACCCAGGAATGTCTTGCTTATCTCCTATACTGGTACCGGGGCCCAAGGCTTTAGGCCATCCTCTACTACTTTCCCAGGCCACAAGCAAAGAGCTGGATGGGAAGTGGCACAGTCAGGACAGGAACTGGCACCCAAATTGAATCCTGGCATGTGCAAGGCGAGGACTGAGCCACTGAAACATCACGTGTAGCCCCATCTGGATATTTATTATATCATTCACGAGCCATGCACAGCCATCAGCTTGACAATTTGCCTGCTCTGGATATACTGAGTTTTGAATCCTGCCTGTGGTTGGCTTGGCAGAACCAGACTAAATGATTTCTCAGGGCTTTTAGGGCCCGTGGGCCATGAATGATGCCGGCATGGATATCCCAATGGCCCCGGGCAGGAGAAGGCATCCTTTCAGGCTGTGAGGTCTTCCTAACAAGATGATGACCATTGTGCCTTTCAGAGCGCACAGTCCCCAGCGGAGGCTCTCCCACCGCCACCTGAAGGTTTCCACTGCTCCGCTGACTTCTCTGGGTAAGGGCTAGGCCAACCTGGGGTAGGGGGTTGGGGACTCTGAGGAGGAAGACTCAAGTCCAGCAGCCTGGCTCGACTCAGCCCCGTTCCCCTCTTCTGATCTCCAAGGTAGCTCATCCCTAGAAGCCCAAACAAGGAAGGCTAGATCAGCCCCTCACATGGGAAGCCAGCAAAATGATGATCCCTAATTTCTTCTGATGAAAGGATAAGACTGGGCTGTGGAAGGGAAAATGAGGAAAGCAAAGAAAAAATAGCCGAGTAAAGCTCAATTCTGGGGCTTAGGGGCAGGTTTCCCCCCCACCCCACCCAGGCATGCACCAACTATCAGCCTAGCTGTCCCAGTGACCGATTCATTCTCCAAAAGAATTTTCCCAGCCTGCCCTGGGCCGCCAGAAGGTAGAGCTGTAGTTGCTTCCTGCATGCATCTTGTTAATCTGCTCTTACGAGGTAAGCAGTTACAACTGAGATATGGTATCACAAGGGCTTTTGTCAGAGTTAGGGAAACAAGGTAAGGAAGGGACCTGTTCTCTCCAAGCAGGCTGACTGGGCAGGTGTTCCTGAGGACAGACTGGGTGAGCCTCAGAGAGCTGGGCAGACAGATAACAGGAAAGGCATTGTCAGTGCAGGAAGCAGCAGAGCAGGAGCCACAAGCATAGCGTTGTGCGGGTAGTTGGAATGCTGTACCTTGGGCACCCAATGACATGGACCCAACTCGTAGTAGCTGACTCAGAATCATCCTCTTCCTCCTCCTCCTCAAGCTAGGCCCGCAGTTTTAGGGAGTGTTGGATCCAAGTGCCCACATCAGTTCATTTCTTCAGTCTCCTTTTTTTGTGTGGCTGCTTTCCTGCTTGAGCAGGTTAGCAAATGGCTTACACATGTAGCCAATGGTTACTGTAGCTCCAAGTTTGCATCCCATCAACACCCTATGCCACTCACTTTCTGGAATTGTCCTCCCACGCCCCCTCCCTGCCCCCAGGCCTCAGGCGCCTGCAGTCAAAGGGACTGGATTGCTTGATTGGCCAAAGTTGCTATGTGGTCCCACCCCGGGTGCTTGGTGTGGGCATGGTCAGCACCTTCTGAAATAAGAGAATTTAAGCAATCAGAAGGGGTTCATCCCATGAAAATGATGAGTTACTGCCAAAAGAAGTGAGACTGGAGACTGGAGAGACAAAGTGGGTGGAGAGTGGAAGGGATGAATACACAGGGCCAGTTGGGAGTCGGGCGCCACACTGGGACCTATGAGGAGGGCCCGTGGGCTGAGGCAGGAGCCTAGCAAGGTCAGACCTGGCTTTTAGGAGAGTCGCTCTGGTAGGCAGCGTGGGGTGGCAAGGAGGGAACAGCCTGAAGATGCACCTGCCAGGGGGGCAATAATTGCTCAGGGAAGTCAAGGAGCCCAAACAGTGATAAGGGGCAGGCTCCAGGGGTATCTTCAGGTAAAGGCAGTTAGTGGAGGTGACATGAAGGTGACTTCCCAGAAGCTGAGAGAGGGGTGATAATACCTTAGCTCAGGGGCACTGCTAGGGAAGGGATGTTTTTTTGGACAGATGGTCAACAGTAACACAAGAGCCCTGGATGGCATCTTGCTGCTCATGATCTTTCTATTTGGCCCTTTGTCCACGCCTCTGAAGTTCATTAGTTAGCCAGAGAGACCAGAGAGGGAATGCCAGGGGAAGCAGGTAGCAAGGGGTGGGGCTCCTGCAAGGCCCGTGCTCACTGCTGAGTGTCTTCAGGGCCAGGTGTGACAGCACTGCCACAGCCATGGGCAGCCTGCCCAGAGGAGCTGAGGGTGGAGTCCCAATGCGGAGGTCCACGCCATGGCCAGCAGGGCAGCATCCCCAGGCTGGGTGCAAGGCAGCAGGGCCTGTCTGCCTGAGAGCACTGCTCTTACAGACCCTGCGGGGCACGTCATCGACCTCGTCAATGACCAGCTGCCTGACATCAGCATCTCAGAGGAGGACAAGAAGAAAAACCTGGCGCTACTGGAGGAGGCCAAGTCGGTGAGCGAGCGCTTCCTGACACGGCGTGGGAGGAAGTCCAGGAGCAGCCCCGGAGACTCCCCGTCCTCGGGTAGGGTAGGGCAGGGCAGGGTGGGATAGGCAGGTGGCTGTGCGGAGCCCCTTGGGGCTGGGGCCGGGGCAGGGCAGGGGCAGGCAGGGGAGGGAGGGTCCAGCTGCAGTGGGAGTGTTGCTTCCCAATCGCTAAGATGAAACTTGTGCTTCTTGACTCTGTGTGTGTATGAGAAGAGAGAAGGAAAGAAAGGAGAGAGAGAGAGAGAGAGAGAGAGAACTGTGGCTTCCAGGAAATGTCAGCTCCCATCCCCTCCCGATATTTTCTCCTTGCCCCAAACTGAAGTTAAGCTCTTGCTGCCCTTTTACCTCCCTCACTGCACCCTAAGTCTTTGGGGGAATGGCCTACGTACACCCACGTGTCCAGAACCCAGGTCCCTCTCCATGGACAGAGTCTTCATGCCACCCCCACCTTCTCTAGGGGCCCCTATCTTCCTCTGCAGTCTGAAAAGGCTGCCGTGGGCCCCTAGAAGAGGGCGATTCTGGGTTAGAGGGAAGCCCTCCTCCTCCTCCTCTGCCTCAAATTATCTTCATTGCTGCCCAGGTAGCTAGGGGCGGGTTTCAGGTGAGTCTGCGGGTGCTAAGAGAGCCAGAACAACTGGGGAAGTGCTCCGTGCCTGCGGTACCAGGTCCTAAAGCTCTGGAAGGTACTTAGAGGTCAGGTCAGGCTGGTCAAGGAGTGTGACTCCCAACCCCTCTTCCATACCCGCTGTGTTGGGCTGGCAGCATGGAGGGTGGGCTGTGGTTCCAGCCGTGTGTGGCGTGTCCGGAATCGCCCTTGACCCCAGCAAAGCAGGTCCTTGCCCCGGAAGGATGGCTTTGTTGGGGCCGAGGCCTAAAGCCTCCATGGCTGGAAGCTAGCATGTATCCGCGTGTCTGTCTCCGCAGCTGCGTCGCCAAGCCTCAGCCCCGGAGCTTCTCCCGCATCGTCTCGTAGCAACTCCCTCACTGTCCCCACCCCGCCAGGTGAGGCCCCCCTGCCCTGGCTGTCTGCTTCAGCGCCCCCTTGGTGGGCTGACCCAAAGGAAGAGCAGACGCACTGTGCAGAAAGGGGGCTAGCTGAGGACAGGGAAAGACGTGGCTTGGGGCTGTGATGGAATCTCTTTGCCCAGAGAAGACTGAGAAAGATCGCAGTGCTTGCTCCTTTGGCAAGGCCTATTTTTTTGGGATATTTGTGGGGTTTTGATTTTTTTCTCTTCCTCTCTCAGGGTTGTGCTGGGGGCCACCCCGTTGGGTCAGCAGGGAAGGCATAGGGTGCAGAGAGCGAGGTTGTACAGGAAGATGCCCTGGACGAGAGCACACTGTGCGCAGGCGCAGCTGATGCCCCCATGCTGCTGTGCCTTCTGGGTTTCTGTGGGAATTTAAGGAGGACCCTCCTCACCCCTGCCCGGAACCTTGTTCTGGGGGGTGGCAGGGAGTGAGTGCATAAAGACCCTACATATTACTGTGAGCACAATCTGGCCCATTCCAGGTTTGGATGTGTGCGGTGGCCCACCGTCCCTTGTGCCCGGAGCGCCAGTCCAGGTAACAGCCCCACTTACCGTGCTCTTCCTGGGCCATCTGGTTTCTCCCTGACCCCTAAAGCTCAAAAGCCCCCTGTTACCTGTAGGAGCTGGGATGCTGGGTGGGGATAGTGGCTGAGGATAGTGGTTGGTGGAGGGGGACCCTCGGGAATCTTTCTAGCAGGCCTCTTCCCCTGTCCAGCTGATCTGTACTTGCTTTCTTCAGCAGAAGGGAGATGAGTCCGATGTCTCTCCAGCTCCCCCTGGCGAGCCTGTGAGTTTGTGCTTTGTTTCATTAGGCTGACTTGGGGTATGGACGTCTCCTGGGGACCTGCTGGTCCCTGAGCTTGCCGGAAGGGGGAGGAGGTGGGGTACTGGCTTGGCTGTCCTACAGGATGCTGTAGGGGTGACCTCCTTGGAGTTGAGCCAGCTGGCCAGAGGCGATGACCCCCTCCAGCACCTGACTGCCATGCTGTGCTACCCGGAGGCAGGCAAGCCTCCTCGTTGACGAGCAGAAGTACCCGCAGCTGTTCAGAGAACAGTGCCCACATGATGCGGGTGTGTGAGGGCAGCACTGGAATGCCAGATGCAGGAACGAGCCAAGGGGCAGCAGGCACAGGACGGGGACACAGGTGCCCTCACCAAGTGTCAGGAGCTGCAAGGAGCAGAATAGGACGGGACCTCTGTTGGGTCCTGGAGCTCTAAGAGATGGGTAAAACCTGGAATCCATCAACTTCCTTTCCCCTCCCTCTTTCCCTCTCTTTTCAAATTTTTGAGAGGGCTCACAAACCTATCAGAAAATTCAAGGCCCTAAGAGTTAAAGACCTTACCAGGCAGAGCCAAGACTAGAATCTGGGTCAGCTAAGCTGGGCCAAACCAGCCTTCTATTCCTCCCTCCTCAGCGCCCAGCCTCTGGCAAGTTCTCTGCTGGATCTGAGTCATTGCCGATTGTTCTAAGGCTTTTTGGGGATGGAGGTGGGGGAAGGTCCTCGCTGCTGGCTCAGACCCCTAGAAGCTCTCCCCACCCCACTATGCACATTGGGTAGGGGGCTCCTCGTCTGCGTCTCAAGAAGCCAGGGGCGTAGCTGTTCCCCACTCCGCCCACACCATGGTCCCACCCTACCTTCTCTCTTCCAGAATATCCCCAAAGGGCTAGCTGACCGGAAGCAGAATGACCAGAGGAAAGTGTCCCAGGGCAAGCTGGGCCCCCGCTCTCCTACAGTCGACAAGTCCAAAGAGCTGGCCATAGAACAAAAAGAAAATTTCGATCCACTCCAGCATCCCGAGACCACGCCCAAGGGCCCAGCTTCTGTCCCAAGCAGTGGCGGGAAAATGGCCCTGAACAGCCCCTTGCCGGGCCCTGTGGAGGGGGAGCTGGGAAAGCCGCTGCAGAAGCTGGCCAGGGAGAGCAGCCCCCTGCCCCGAAGTCCAGCTCCAGGCCCTGCAGGGCCAGCTCCCCCAGCCTCCCAGGGAGCAGGTTCACCTTCAGAGCCCACAGGGACCAAGGTGGGCTCCAAAACTGAACCACGGTCCCCTGTGTCGCGGCCCCCTCTGCTACGAGGGGTCTCCTGGGACAGTGGCCCTGAAGAGCCGGGGCCCCGGCTGCAAAAAGTGCTTGCCAAGCTGCCGCTGGCAGAGGAGGAGAGGCGTTTTGCAGGCAAGCTAGCCAAGGCGCCAGGACTCAAAGACTTCCAGATTCAAGTGCAGCCTGTGCGGATGCAGAAACTGACCAAGCTCCGTGAGGTGGGTTCCTGAGGACTGGCTGAGCAGGTGTGCACTGGGGCGGGGGTGGGAGGGGGGCACCCCTGTTTGAAGATTGCAGAGACTGGGTTGTGGGGTATGTGGGAAAGTAGCTGTTGCCGAGATGTGGGCCTTAGCAGGGTCCTAAGCTTCCTTACCTGGTAGGCCAGGCCACTTGTGTGGCAGCTTTTTAAAACATCCATTTATCCTGATGTTAGGCATCAAGCAGCCTGGGGTCTAGTTGCTACCCATGATGGGAGGACAGGGACACAGAGGCCCCTAGTGCCATGTAGCCGGAGCTGGGGGTGAAGGCACAGCATCCCTTGATGGCTGGAAAGCATGCCTGGGGCTTGGCAAGCATGAGGTAGTCTGCTTGTGGGTTGTGCTCCAAGCTTTCTTCCTGATATTCATGCAAATCTATCCCCCACCAAGCATGATGCTGCAACACCCCCCACCCCCATAAAGGGCTGCTCCTCCACAGGAACCTTCTCATGCCCATGGTGTCTCTAGCTTTATAGGCCATCAACCCAGGTGCAGGGATCTCCCTGTACTTCCACTCTCTGCAGGGGCACCCAGGAGACAGACTAGAGGGAGAGGGCAATATGACACAGAAATCCTGACCTTGACTACGCCCCGAAAGGCCAGGCCAGGAGAGAAGCCAAGGCAGCTGGGATTCCACAGGGTGGGGCCCAGGGCCTAGGGGAGCTGGAGCTCCACAAGTTGTCTTGCCGAGGGGAGTGTGGGCCAGGGAGGGGAGCGAGTCACCGGGCCAGTCTGCAGCACAGGTGAAGGTAGCTCTGGGCCAGTGGGGATGCAGCCTGATGCTGTTGTCCTGGCGCCTGGCAGTTGACTGGACATGTGACACAGCCTAATCTAGCTGGTCTTCCTTGAAGATCAGCACAGGGCCTGGAGGGGCTGCCCCAATGGGCCCAATCTCAGATATGTTTGGAGTGGTGGAGCTGAAGGGACCAAGGACTTGCCCACCAGTACCTCTGCTCATCAGAGTCCAGACCAAGCCACCTCCACTCTCCACACCTTCAACAGAGAAAATTAGAGAGATTGGAGGCTGCCCAGGCTGCCAACTACTTCCTTGACAACTGAACACTCCAGGGCCCGGAGCCTGGGACTCCCATTTGGGTCACGAGCACCCCCTTTGCTTCTTTATGCAGGAGAGTCAGCTGCTACATGCACACACAGAGGGATAGCACAGTCCCAGAGTAGGGAGCTTTGCCAGGCAACTCCACTGGAAGACCCTGGTTAGGTCTTACTGGGAGCAGGCATGGGCCCACCTGTACCACACTCCTGGGGTCACCCTCCCACCTCCCCAGGTGTTGCTGGCTGAGGTCCCCAGGGTCTGGAGAGTCTACAAATCCAAGAGGCACCATCCAAAGAGCTGTTGAGGAACTGAGGGGCTGGGCAAATCACAACTTCTGGAAGTGGGTATGCAGTGCCCAACACAGCATGGCAGAAAGCTGCGGCCAGCAGTGAAATCGCAGGAAGTGGGTTACAGGCACACCCTGTACCCACCCAGGGGACCCCTTTGTCCACAGAGCCTGTGGTTGTGCTTGTGTCTGCCCTCCACCCTCTACCAGCTGCAGCTGTGGTGTGGCTGAGCAGATCGCTCACTACCATACCCACAGACTATTTGGTCAAGTGCACCGTGCCAAGGGCCACTCTTGCCCCAAGGAACGTGTGTGTCAGTTGTTCCTGCACCCTTACGTGCTGCGAGAGGGGCTATCTTCCTGGTGCCCATCACATCTCCCTGTGCCTTCATGGCTCCCACCCAGGTGTGTGTGTGTGTTGCCTTACCCCGTGGCCCCTGAGGCTGGGGCCACAGAGCCAGGGATAGAACCTGCTGAGGGATCCAGTCTGCTGCCATGCCCTAAAGCCCCTGTCTCTTTTCTTCCCCCTTCAAAAGGAGCACATCCTGATGAGAAACCAGAACCTGGTGGGTCTCAAGCTCCCAGAACTCCGAGAAGCTGCTGAGCAGGAGAAAGGTAGGTGTGTGCGTGGTGAATGCTGCCCTGGCCCCCCACGCCAGCCCTGGGGTGGGGCTGCACCGGCCTGCACCAGAGCCAGGAAGGCAAATGTATAAATGCAGGCTTCCTGCCCATGACCTTTGTCCCTCCGGGCCTCAGAGGGGGCCTAACACAGAGCAGGCCGTCAGTAAATATTTGCAAATGAACCAGTGCAGCAGATGGCTTTTCCTGCTCACTCAGCACCTCTGGACCTGTCTCCTGCCCCAGGCAGAACTTGTTAGCGTCCATTAGGGTCCACAAGGGTGCCCTGGGCCTGAACTTTTGACAATGCACTTTCCCCCTACACCCAGGAAGTCACTCATATAGCTTACTTCCCCTTTCATGCCATCCATCCTAATCAGCGCTTGCTTTCCCATCTGCTGGCACCACCTGCTGGGGCCTGTAAGGCCCTTCCTGCAGCTTGCTGCTATCGCCTACCTGCTTACTTGCCTGCCATGCTTGCCAGGCTTACCCCCGCATTGGAGCCTTAATCCCCTAGCTCCAGGCCTGCTCTTAGTACCATTCTCCAGAACCCACTTATGGGCCAACCTAACCACAGACCAGGCACATGGCTTGCACAGGCTAGCCCCTCTATGCAGTGTGGCCCAGGGTGCTTGCTACTTGCCTTGCAGGTTACCAGGGAAAGAACAGAGTTAGATAGGGTGGAGTTCTTGCTGCACAGGCAGCACCGTCTGGGTGTCGGCATCCCTCTGCCCCAGATGGAAGTTTGTGCACATCGGTTGCAAAGGTGCCTGACATATCTGGGCCCTGGATAAGTACGTACTGATTTATGAATGAAAGAAGCTGGAACTGTTTCTAACAACAACTGGTAGCTTTGAGCACAGCACCCTGGGGCGGTCTTATTTCTCCAGCCCTTTATCCTTACTGGGAACCCTCCTGAACCCTGTTGGGTGAAGTGTGGATAAGTGCCTCCAGCTCTAAAACCCTCATTTCTTTTCCCCCAAATCATACCATCTATACCCTACTCCTTCATATTTATATTTTATGATCTTTTAAAAAAGATTTATGAAAGAGAATTACAGAAAGAGAGATCTTCCAGTCATTGGTTCACTCCCCAGATAGCCACAGTGGCTAAGGCTGCATCAGGCTGGAGCCAGGAGCCAGGAACTTCATCTGGGTCTCCCATGTGAGTGCAGGGTCCCAGGCACTCACACCATCTTCTAGTGCTTTCCCAGGCATGTTAGAAAGGAACTGAATTGGAAGTAGGACATCTGGGACATGCACCAGCACCTGTATGGGATGCCACTGTTGCAGGAGGCAGCTTAACCCATTAAGCTACAGCACCTACCCCTATATTGTATTCTTTTTTTTTTTTTTAAAGATTTATTTTTATTATTTTTTCATTGGAAAGGCAGATATACAGAGAGGAGAGACAGAGAGGAAGATCTTCCGTCCGATGATTCACTCCCCAAGTGAGCGCAACGGGCCGATACTATGCCAATCCGAAGCCAGGAGCCTCTTCCGGGTCTCCCACGCGGGTGCAGGGTCCCAAAGCTTTGGGCCGTCCTCGACTGCTTTCCCAGGCCACAGGCAGGGAGCTGGAAGGGAAGCGGGGCTGCCAGGATTAGAACCGGCGCCTATATGGGATCCCGGGCGTGCAAGGCGAGGACCTTTAACCACTTGCGCCACCGCGCCGGGCCCTATATTGTATTCTTATTGTGATAAATATACATAATGCAAAATTTACTCCTGTCCCCTTGTTTTATGGCACTTGCACTAAGTACACTCACATTGTGCAACCATCACCACCATTTGGCACCCCCACTGCTTCTTCCCCCAAACTGACACGATGTACCTATTAAGTGCCACCTCCCCGGCCCCTGGCTGTCACCAGCCTGCTTTTCATGCCTGTGTGTGCAAGCACTCTAGGTCCTCATCTGAATGAAATCATGTATGTTTTACTCCTTTAAGTGTAATCATGAATCATGTCAGGCTGTGTTTTCTACAGTACAAACCCCTTCACGCCTCTGGCTTTGTCTGCTCACTACCCAAGGGCAGGCAGGGATATTGCTCTCCTGTTGCAGTTGACAACAGTGAGACCCCTAGAGTTCCTGACTCCCTGTAACAGTTTTGCCAGCACACAAGCTGTGGTGAAACTGTGCTTAGTGGGGTGCTGTTTCAGATGCCAACCTGCAGCAGACCCGCATGTGGGGGAGACGGTGGGGTGGGACAGGGAGTGGAGGGGCGCTGCTGTGTCCCATGTGAGTAGGAGGGATGGGGTGCTTGCTTGCTGGGCCCTCCCCATCTCTGATGTGGATCTGAGATCTCTGTGGACCTGGACTTCAGAGTGCCCCATCTGAAGATCCTTGTCACCGCCCCCCCACACACATCTCTCTCTCCCCACCAGATGCAGTGAGGACGACCCTGCCCAGGGACACTCAGGGGAGGGGCGAGGCATGCCATGGAAGCCTCTGATGGGAACCAGCCACCCCCACATGTCCACACCAACCAACAAGCACAGTGCCCACAGGACTCAGTTAATGGAATCTTGGATGTATTTTATATTTTTCTAATTTTCCATATATTAAAGCAGTTTTGAAAGATTAGGAAAAACATTTGCTTCACCCACAACCCCACAATTCTGTAAAAGATTGCTATTTACCCACACAGTTTTCCTAGTGTTGATATAGATAGCTCTGCCTATTCTGTTTTCACTTCAGCTCTTTCTGTTGATCCCATTTGATTCACTGTCCTGCTTATCGTTGCATACTTCCTTTTGCTCTGTTGGTGAAGTGTTTGTGCCTGTTGTTGGATATTTCAGATGTTTACAGTTCCACCATGATTAACGACTCTACTATAAGTCAGTCTGTACTTCCAGGGTTTTTTTTCTTCTTCTTCTTAAAGCTATTCCCTTGGGATAAATTCTCAAACTTCAAATTTGTTGTGTGAACACACAGACATGTAAGGATTTACCGCATCACCTCGACTGTGGGATGCCACCTGCAAAGACAGAGTGTGTGTTTTTCTCTTAAGCACTGTCATTACGAGGCTGGGCTTTGCTTTTGTTGCTTATTGATAAGAACGTTGTAAGAACCACATAATCAGTGATGACATTTCTGTGTTGCTCTCTTCCTCCTTCAGTTCTGGGATTTAGGTGGCTAAGAGCTCAAGCTCTGTCACTTCCTAGCCTCAGAGCCTTGGGGACAATGATAGTGCTCGGTTCACTGAGCTGGTGTGATGGTAGTTGATGTTGAGCTTCATGCCTGCAGGCACTTGGTCTGACTTGCATTTCTGCCACTGAGGCTCTGCAGCTGTGTGCCAACCTGGTCAGACATGCTTGTCCTCTACGTTTGCATTGTGTAAGCCAGTGTTGGAGGTGGAGATGGGGGCATTTGGAGAGATCCACTGAAGAGCCTGATTTCCTCCTGTCCCCAGAACAGGCAGCTCTGAAGTCCTCCCTGGGAGCAGCCTCGTGGAGCGCATCCAGGCTCCGAGTACCACCAGGAGCTCATCGCTTAGGGAGCCTGTTTCTTTGGGAAATAGGGAAGATCCTTATCAGAGCATTCTGGAGGCTGAGGAACTTTGGGTCTCATTCTGTTTCTGAGAACTGGGAAGCTCTTTTCCTTGCTGTATCTGTTCTTTCCAACAATCTCATCAGCTTCTTTTTTGCAGGGACTGTTGTTGGTTCTTTGGTTATTTGCCACAAATTGACAAACTATCAGCAAGCTCCTGATTTGTATGCTGGGGATGTGTTAAGGTGCAAAAGGCTCTGGGTCATCCTCAAGGAGAAGGCCTCAAATGAATCAACTATCATCAGACATCCTGGCCATCTCAATGATCCCCTAGCCACCTCCCACCCCCACCTGGCCTCTTGAACTCCCTGCCTGGCTGAAGCCACTGCCCATGTGGCAGCCAGAGGAGTCTCTGACCTGTGATTCTGTCCCCACGTCTTTGCAGGCTTCATCTGCTCCTGGATGAGCACTTGGATCTTTGGATAATGCAGGTAGCCCTGGGGTTGCACCCCTGCCCTGCCCAGCATCTTCCAGGGCCTGCTCTCCCATGCTTTTCCACATTGTAGCCTGTTTTCAACAACTTGTTCCTGCCCCTGCTTGCACCCACTGCGTCTCTTCCCTCTATGGGAAGGGTTTGTCCTCTTACCTGATGAATGCCATCTAATCTCCAGCTGCCTGCATAGATGTCAGTGTTCCATGAAGCTCTATTGTCTACTGCCATACCACCCTGAACGCGCCCGGTCTCGTCCATGAAGGTCTATTTGGCACCTCCAGATCCCTGTTCCTCTGTGTGAGATGCAGTGCTTGAGCACATGTCCCTGGCAACCTGTCTCCTTAGGGAGTAAGCTCTCAGAGGATGGTAGCTTGTCAGATTGACTTAGTGTTTCACCCCTAGTTCCAATTCCACTGCCAAGGACACAGTAAGCACGTGATAAATATGAAACAAATGAGCTCACCTTCACTGCTAGGAGAAGACAAGCAAGTGTAGACAAAGTCACAGTGACACACTGTGATCCTATTTTAACAGAACATGAAGTTCCTCAGAACCATGAAACAGCAACAGCCAGCTTAGGAAGGGTGAGTTAGGAAGGTTCGCAGGTGCAGTTCTGAGGCAAGGAAGAGAAAGTCATTCAGGTGGAGGGAAGGGCAGGAGTAAAGGCGTGATGCCTCTTCAGACAGAAGGGACCTGGAGGGAGTTGAGTGTGTACTGTATCCAAGGCTGGGAGGAGGGAGAGTGAAGGCTTTGAGGGCCAAACTGTGAGTCTGAGTTTCATGTGGGACCCTTGGGAAGTCAAAGAAAGCAGCAGGACCAAATTTGATTTACAGTAATTCTCCTGGACCAATTGTGAAGGCTGGCCTGAAATGCTAGAGGTTAGAGTCAAAGCAGGTAAAAGGCAAGGAGACTATAAGCAGGGCTGGTAGAGATGTAGGGAGATCTGAGAGCTGTTTGGAAGTCAGCCTGGCAGGTGGGGCTCAGGAGCATACAAGAAAGTCCAGCAGGTGTTG